AACGAAAATTCGCTTCTCCCCGATGAAAAAAAAAAAAAAAAAAAAAATATATTCACAATGAAAACTCGACTTTTTTTCATTCAGGAACTGCTGATGGTTCAATTTTGATTGAATAAGAAAGGAAAAAAGAGGAGTATAGAATAGAATCAAGAGACGGACAACCAAACCACAGTGAGAATCTGATCTGAGTTTGTTCTAGGGTAATGGTTGGATTGTTAGGAGGGGGGAAGGGAGGGAGGTGGGGGATAGGGGGTTCTTATATCGAGAGCTCGAGAGCTAAGGGGGTCTAGCTCGAGGACGAGCGAGTGAGGGGGCGTGCAGGAAGAGAAGAGCATGACACATGCAGATCACGGCTTTCACACAAGAACACCGCTCAGGGAGAATGCATGATGATATGTAGAGGTACTACCCTAGCTGGCTCAAAACTCTGCCCATGCCGGTCTCGAGATCGCTTTCTTTCTCAAAACTCCGATCCCGTGCTCCACACACCACATTCGCCCACCTTCCCAAATTCCTAAATTCCTTTCCCAGGCAACCCATGGCAACTAACTTACAAGCGACAATTCCGGCTGTCCATGCCATCTTCAGAAATCCCAGGAGAGCTCCGCCCATCTAAACCACGCTTTCTTAAGTCTAGATGAACATGCGAATGCTCCCACCCGTCTCCGCGATGCATGCTAGCCAGAAAATGCCCTGATTTATGAAACAAAGGAAAGATGCTGTTGTAACAGAGGGAGTGTATGTATAGGTCGATAAGGTTAATTAAGTATTCCTTCCCACATGCCGGGCCCACCGAGGCCGCCCAGGGCCGGGTGAAGATTAGGGAGATTACGAGTAGCTTCCGTCGCACAGCAGACCCTCTTCTGCCCGAATGACGCCCCTGATATCGAGCGCACAGCGACTTGGTTGAGGTTGATCTCCATGGCACGTCCCGCACGGAACCGCACCAGGTCATCTGACCAACCCCTCTCGGACTGATAGCGTCCAGTCAACATCTCTCGCACGTTCTCTTGCAGCGAGCCGTCGATCGATTCGGTCCGGCTGCGCTTCGCGCCCGCGCGGTTGGGAGGCGACTCCACGGACCGCGGGTGGTTATGCAACTCCTGCAGAGCCCGCGCCGCCTCTTCGTCCTTGGTGAAGTAGTCCACGTCGACATCGCGCCTGGCCACCGGCGTATCCAACGACAGCTCGAGAAAGTCCTTGCCCACCGGTCCGGTGCACGAATCGGGCGACGACGTCGGGCCATTGTCGCAGTATCCTTCCGGTACCGTCGTGATGGCGGCCCGGCTCATCTTCTCGCTGCACAGCTTCGCATACCGACAGCGCGCTTGCACATCCAGTTTGGACGCGACATTCGCGCTCATCAGGCTGGAGGCCGAGGAGATCGAAGATGAACGAGACGATCGCGACGAGGTATCCGAGATCATCGACTCGGGCGACGACATCGACGAGACCGAGGTGGCCAAGGACGACCGGCGTTGGCAGACCACGTATGATTGCGGGGAGGAGGTCTGCCATCGGTCCGTCATCTGAGACGCGCAGACGTTGGAAGCCTGAGCCATGGCGTACCCCATGGCCGGCTTGCTGAGCACGCAGGACGTCGCAGCACTCACTGCAGGAGTGTTGCATCCCGTGCTCTGCGGGGTCAGTCTGGGCGTGGGGAGCAGACCGAGGGCCGGGGCGGGCTTGCTGGGAGGGTAAGCAGCCGCGGGGGACGGTTCCATGACATTAGGAGAGTAATATTTGGGGGTAGGGGTAGATTCGGCGGAACCATATCCAAACGTGGAGCGTTCGGCGACTAGGGGAACGTAGGTCCGCGGGCACGCCGCGCTGATCGATCTCACACTTGCTTGAGCAGAGGTTGCTGGCGCCGGAGTGGTTGGCGCGATGCCGTCGATGTTGTCCAGCTCGGGATTCAGCCGCAGGACAATCGACTTCCAGTCCGACGGCTGATCGGCTAATCGCGGACACGGCGAACCCGGCGACGGGGGGAGGGTCGGGGTGTACTTCAGGACGATGTCGGTCCAGCGTTGGAAGACGGCATCGGTGATGTGGATGCGCCAGTTGACGGCAAGGAGGAAAGCCATCTCGTTCTGGTTGATTTCGACCGTGTTCAGGCCGGAGATCTTGCTCCAGGCGCGGGTCGAGTAGTTACGATCCTGCAGATACTTGGAGGCGAGGATGAGGGCGGAGAGGAACATGCGGCGGCCGCACTGCAACGCGCGCAGCGAGTGCGCATCGTCGGGCTGTTCCATGGTAAAATCATGGCGGGGGACGTGGGGTTTGATCAGGATCAGGTAGTAGAGGGCGACCTGCAGGGTCGAGTAACTCGTCCGCGATCTGCGGAGCGTCTCCTGAATGAAGGTGCGCAGGGGCAGGACGCCCTTGCTCCCCATCTCGCTCCGACAGACGACGGAGGAGAGGGGCCAGATCGCTTCCACAATCTGGGCCGAGGAATCTGGTGGGGGAGGTCATTGAGCGGGGGGAACGTATCTAGGATTCTATGGTGTTGGCTTACCGACGAGGCTATCGACGAAGTTGACCTTGCGATCGCATTGCCGTACTAAGGCAGGGGGGCAGCCGGTGCGCGTGGCCGTGGGGGCACTGGTCCGCCGTGGATGCTGGCGCTGCTCGGCGGGGACCTTCTGGCGAGGCCATTGCGTGGTGAGGGTGAGGCCTTGTTCGCCGGTCCTGTTGGCGGGCGCGTACACAGGCGCGGGGGGGCGGGTGTAGCAGCACGACTCGGGGGCGTCAAGGTCGTCGGATGCGCCGGTCACTGAGGAGTCGTCGGAGGATTGGGACGAGGCATCGGACCAGACCGAGGCGGATGAGGAGGAAGCCGAGGAGGCGATGGAGGAGCTGTAGGGACCGTTGCGATAGGATGCGATGTAAGGCGGCGAATCATCTTCGCCGCAATTCATCTTCGAGGAGAGCGAGGGGGGGTCAAGACAGAGGAAAGACACCTCCCGTCGCCGTCTGTACAAAGTCGTCGCGATTAAACCGTTAAACTGAAATCCGTGGAACCTTCTGACTAGATACAGGGCCCGCACAACAAGAACTGCTGCGGAGCGGAGTGATCGAGGGAGGAGGGCGGCGGACGAGCTAGAGCAAAGGGACCGCGAGGATCTCTTCACGTACGATTAAACCGGTAGACGATGCAAGACGGGCGACGGGGGCAGTTTCGAGAGAGACGAGGAGCATGGTGACCTCTTCGACAGCGCGGCGGATGAGACGGCGAGGAGGGCAGCTACTTGAGAGCAGCTCCCATTGAATAACGCACGACGTGCCGGGGGGGGGGAGGAAGAAGGAAGGTGAATGTGTATTGGAAGTTGTTGATGAGTTGATATAAGACGAGAGAGTTTTATTCTTTTTTCCTTCTTCTTCTTCTTCTCTTCCTCTTCCTTTGCGGTTTGCTTTTCGTTTTCTTCGTTTTGGCGAGAGACCTAAGACTGAGTGGAGATTTGGAGGGAAGAAGTAGACAGGTAGATAAAGGAGAAGAGGCTTCGTGGGCGCAGCAGTCGTGTGTCGACTCACAGAGGGTGAGGGGAGATCAGTGGCAAGAGCTAGCCGCGATGGCGGAGGCGGATGGCGGCAAAGGCAGCAGTGCGACGACAGAGATGGTGCGCAGGCAGCCGAGGGGTATCAAAGGAGAGACGGGGGGGAACAAAGAGACGGGGGGGGTGTTGGTTGAAAGGTTGAAGGGTTGATGGGTTGATGGGTTGATGTTTGGTGGTTTGATGGGTTGATGGGTTGATGGGTTGATGCGTGATGCGTGACTGGCAGAGTGGCGCGAGAGGCCGGATATATCTAGAGAGATAATAGATATGTGGCCTGGGGGGGATGGATGACTCTTTCGCTTCGTTCAGGCTCTCTCGCTTTGTCCGTGGCAGTGGCGGGCAAGCGGGAGGAGGATATCCTCTTCTAAGGGAGATGGAGTAGAGATAGATAGATGATAGATGATAAGATGATGGATAGAAGACAAGCGGATGGAGAAAAGGCAGATGCAGACTTCAAAGAGCCGCTCCGTCTAAGAGTGGGAAGCATACATGTCGTCTGTCTTGGTGAGGGAGGGAGCTTTTCGAAGGGGGCGACGGTGGCGGGCGCTGCGCTGGTTTTGACAGATTCCGGGGGGGAAGAATGCGAGTACGGTGGCCGGGAGGGGCGAGGGGCGAGGGGGGGGAAGAAGAGGGGCGCCGTAGTTGAAGTTGAAGAGAGGGGGGGGGGAAGGGAAGGGGGAGGGGAGAGGACCAGAGTGGCAGTTCTCTTAGTTACCTAAGGGAAGTGATGTGACTGTATGACGGGGTGAGACTTGGGGTGACTTGGTGACTTTTCCAGGTTTGGTGGGCAATGGTGGCTGATGATGATGACTGATGACTGATGACTGATGATGGATGATGGATGACTGGATGACTGGTACATGGTGACTCTTCCCCCCTCGCCCAATCACCGCTCTGGCTTTCCCCTCCGCCGCCGATCCCTCCAGGCAGAACCCTCGCCGCTTCCTGCAGAGAACTTTCTCTCGCCTCTTGATTCTAGTCTTCATCTTGGATCTATTCTATTCTCACTAAACCTACCTATGGTATAAACCTATAAACCCATCAACGATATCATCGATACTGTATTAATGGAGTCGGACCATTCCACGCCTCCGACACCAGGCACTCCCGTGACACCACCATCGGTAGTGCGAGTCCATGCCGTGCGCCTGGATTCGTAAGCACGCCTCCTGATTCGAGGGGTGGTTATTCACGGGTTTTATTCATACATATTCATGGTTTTTATCCACACTTCTTTATTTTTATCCACACATAATTATACATAATACGATGACCATCCGAATTATCCACTGTATCACTCATCATCATCTTCAACGTCCCTACATAAGTGAACACAAGAGCACATCAGGGACACCGGGTAATGCATATACATATACATATACATACACACATATACATACACATTCACACAAGGCAAAAAGGCCATAATGCAGAGCACACCAAGTCCGGCCCTCGTCCATCGGAGACCGCAAGATTCCGCTCCCCCCTTCCCCCCTCCCACTCACACCACACAATCAACTATTCCCATTCCCATTCCCATCCCATCCGTCATGGCCAAAAAGACCGGACCAGCCCCCATCCCGTTACTTCCGCCTCCTAAGAATAACAACAAACCCGAAGCTGTGGTTTTCCGGGCCCGATAACACGGGATACGGCATCGTGGTGTCGTGTGTCTGTCTGTCTGCCTCGATTAACTCGGGGGCCCCCTTGGCCCTTACTTTAGGACTTGGGTGCCATGGCGACTATCTCCTATCGTCGTCGCATCATACATCTTGATTTGAAGGGCTACCTCCTTGTATGATGATTTGACATTCCCATGCAAGAATCCCAGATTTTTTATTTTCCTTTCCTTTTTTTTCCTTTCCCTTTTTTCACCCAGCCCTGGAACAAGGAAAAAAAGACCCTAACCCAAGAATCCACTCACTCACTCTACTCGCCACCTTTACACCTCCTTCCCCGCTCCATTGCCACTCACTCGCCTCTCCCAATCGTGATGCTCCCTCACCCACCATCAACATCCAGAAAAGAACACGAGCCGAAGCCTCTAGAAGGCTGCTAGGAACTTGGTGCTTTGATTTTGATTTGATTTGATTTGATTTGGTCTTTCGTCCCCCTTTTTTCTACCTTACCTACCTAGTCACTTCTATACGTATATCCCACGCTGCCTAGGTACCTTACCTACCCAAGGCAAAGGAGGGGGGAAGAGAATGAATGACTCAATCCCTCAAGTAAAGAAGTAGGTTTCGTGGAACGGCGTTCTTGATTTTGTAAGACTTATTGTTCGTAGATGTCGCTCACATGATTTACTGGTGTTGTTTGTAGATTGTTGAATGTGCTTTGTGTTTTAGATAGGGAGGGGAGGGTGGAATAAGAGGAGGGTAAAGAACAAGTCATGTATCTATGTAGGTAGGTGAGAAGAGAAGAGAAGAAGAAGGGGGAGGCATGACATGGCATGATGTCGCTCACTCCCTCCCATTCTTCACCGTCTTAGTACGACTCCTCGAAAGAATTCCGCACTACCTACCTACCCAAAAAAAACAACAACGACGACAATAAATATACATCTAACTATTCTAATTCAATCCATTTATCGCAATGAATCGATCAGGATGACTTTTTTTTTTCTTTTTTCCCCCTAAAATCTATTATCCAAGGTACTTATCTTTCTTTCTCTAAGATCATATCATATAATATCATTATCATCATCATCGATTGATTTATTCATCTTACCTATCCTATCTTACATTTCCTTCCCTACATCAGTAAGGCGTTAATTCGTTCTCTGACCTTGATCTGATCTGATTTGGGCTAAATATAAGTATAAGTATAGGTAAGATTAATTTGTATCATGTGGAACGATGGAAGATGAGAGGTAGGCAGTTGGGGTGGGGTAGGTGGATGATCGAATGAATGAATGAATGAATGAAAGATAGATAGATAGCGGATTGGGTGGGGGGTCTTATGGGGGTTTGTTTATTTGTTTTATTTTAGATGGGTATTTTAGATGGATGTTGAGGGATGAGGGATGAGGGATGAGGGATGAGGGATGAGGGATGAGGGATGAGGGATGAGGGATGAGGGATGAGGGATGAGGGATGAGGGATGAGGGATGAGGGATGAGGGATGAGAGGGTCAAGATAAATAGAGAAAGTATGGAATATTAATGTAGAGGAGAACGTGTTTCTGGGACGGTAGGGATAGGGATCGGATGGGTGAGTTGCTAGGTAGGCGGGGATGAGGGAATTGTGTACGTGCGAGATGGTCAGACAAGAGACCACCGCTGGATCATCAGCTAGGTTCTCTTCTCAAATGTAACATGTCAAGTAATGTTAGTGGTCCTGGCGCCAGACTTGAGATCTTCATGAGAAGGCGGAATAGTGTGGGCAGACGACATTCAGAACTACCTACCTAGCATAGATAAATGAATGAAACATCTGCTCATAATCAACCATCATATCGTAGACTATCCGGATTCTTTTAGACAACATAACGTGCGCGAGGATCTGGAAGGAGAAAAGTCTTGGCGATGAGGAAGATTACCTAGGGATTGAAATACTGGGATGAGTTAGTTGGTTAAGACGGATGATTGACGAAGATAAGATGGCATTCGATGGGTTTAGAACGTAGGATGAGCTTCGGTGTAAGATATGTTGTACAGCAATCAGGTCGAACTTGTTGCCGATTTAGAGGAAATGGTAGGACGATCCTTGGACCTACACTATTCTGGGTGTGTGAAAGCAATGGATGAGCTAGGAAGGGTAGATCTGCTTCTTCTGATAGGGGCCACGCTTATTCGTGGCCTTCAGACGTGGGATTCACGGGCGTAGCATAATATCAAAGGACACTCGACTGGATATCTGAAGTATACGGACGAGGCTGAGAATTTACCATCGACGGCGTAATTGGAATCGCCCATAACTCAAGATTTCTCAACACACCTGGCCTGAGATACCTATGCTACATGATTTATTTTGTTGAAATCCCGATTCATGGCATTGGCTTTGAGGGTATTCTGAAAATCTACCGAGCTGGGCTTGGAAGCAGACGCTTGCTGACTGATTGATACAGAATCAAGAAGATCTAAGAAACTACCCAGCTTGAAGAAACCTCTCATTAATTCCGGTCATATAGCCCGTCAGAACATTATCGATACGTATCATCATGGCAAATCTCCAAGAGATTGAGGATATTCCCGGATGTAAATTCCCTCACGACTCTGGAATTAAGACAGTATACCGTCTCTTGCTCAACTACTCAGAGACTTGTGATATTCTGAAAGCAGGATAGTATAAGCCAGTATTATCCCAACTGAGAGCTCCGATATAAGATAAGCTACTAGCAGCTTTGCCTTTGCTTTATAATAGCAAGAATAAAAAAACAACTCAACATTCTCACGTTCGCCTCGACTTCTGTATTTGCACTCGATTGACTTGATCCCTTTCGACTGCAACTGCTGACGAAAAGACTGCGAGATGAGTAGACCTCCCTTGAAATCGTCCCAAGCGTACACAACCAGTGCTAACTGAAGTGAACGAGGCCCCCTGCCTTGTGGCGGACCGCAGACTGCTCACCTCTCAACGTCGGAGATCCTAGCGGGAGTTACCCGGCAAACTGTAGTTCTTGGCGGATCCAGCTATCACTCTTTGACAAGAGGATCTGTACCTGGAGGAGCAATGCTGTTACCATTGGTGGTTTGAGAATTGGAATGACTTGGCTTCTGGGTTGGAAATGTGATGTTGATGGTGCTTTAGGGTATGTGGGATCCTGGCTATTGGCTCGCTTACATGTGGTCGTCCCCCTTTTTGAAGGGATCGATTAAGGTTGGTGAGGCAGATCATAGAAGCTACCAGGTAAGATACCGCTCCAACAGACCATCGTGATGGGGTCATACTTCTAATGTCTTGTGAGTGTGGCAGGTTATCTAGTCAGAACTAGAGAGGGGCATATCAAAAGCCTCGAGTCTTGATTCTCGGAATTAACCCTGTTAACAGACCTAAGTACCGTGCTGAACTCACCCTGTAATATTGGGCCACGACCGACACATCTACACAACCGAGTGTGATGCAAAGGCCTGCACACCATGTCAATATAGTACCTTAGTAGCCCTTATATACGTTAGTAGTACAAGCAGAGACTAGAGATATGGAAGAATGCAGTTTGGGACCCATTGCAAGTGCCAAATCACGTGATAATAAGCGGTGACGCATTTGTACGGCAGAAACACGATGTAATTTTTGAACAAAAACGAGCGTCACGATAAAAGCCAAAGATGCCTCCTCAAAACGGGACGAAGACTCCCGCCGATGCTTCAGGGCCTAGGAAACGCAAAGATGCACCGGATTCTTCAGCCAGCAGCCAGAGGGGCGCTAGCAATGGACGTATCAAACGCGTCAAGACACAAATGGCGCGGTCGATCCTAGCCCAGAATGCGGATTCAGCACTCAAGAATGGAGAGTTAGACCTTCAAAATTTCCTCAAGTCGCGCGAGTTCGAGATCAAGTCCCTGGAGGATGGTATGAAACGGTCCAAAGCCTCTCGGACGGCCCGAGCGTTCCAACAGGTCCCACGGGATATGAGAAGGAGGACCGCGAGCCACAATGTCAAGAGGGTGCCGAAGCGGTTGCAGAGGAGGGCAAAGAGGGAAATGATAGAGGACAATACGCCGACTGTCACAGCTGCCAAGAGGGGCCCCAGAAGTACGAGAGGGAGAATCCGAGCGGAGACTGCGAAACGACTCGGAATACTTGCGGAGAAGAAGAGGGCGAGGAAGGCGGCGAGTGGAGGGGAAACGGAGGCTGCTGGTATCACTACGAGAGCTGCGCGACCGAAGATACGGAAAGACAAGTTGAATGACCCACCGAAGCCAAAGGCAAAGTTCAGGAAACGTCAGATTCACAAGACGTGGCTACCAACACATCTGTGGCATGCCAAGAGGGCGAAGATGACCGAACCAAAGAAACCACTGTGGAGATTCGCGGTGCCCATCACATCGACGGAGAAGTCCTACCGCCCAACACACAGAGCTGGAGGGGTGCGAGGTGCCATTGCTTGGGATATGAGTTACATGAGCACAATTGGTCTCGAGGGTCGAGTAGAGGGTTTAGAGAAGGTTCTGAGAGGACTAGGAGTGACTGAACAAGGAGTATGGGAAAAGAAAGGAGAGAAATGGAGATCTGGTAAACGAAGCTGGAGTGGATGGCTAAGCAGAGATTCCAAAGGGCAACGTCTACAGATTGGTCCTTCAACAATTGTTTGGTGTACCTCAGAGCAAGATGCTGCAAGCGAAGCTGCTGTCGATAAGCCGAAGAAGCCAATGCGACGCCTTTTCATCAGAGTTCATCCTTCTGCGTTTCTTGAGTTGTGGACCGAAGTGCTTCGCTTGTCAAAGCTTCAACGTCCTGCAGTCCACGCTGAGGACCTCCGTTTTGAGATTGGAAGCATTGAAATCACAGGTCCTGGTTCAACTGAAGCGTTGCTTGGGATTTTACATCCGTATCAGAATCCCGAAGGAGACATCTCAGAAGCTCATGGTCAGGCTTTTAGGTCTCTGGCAGGAGTTACTAATCCAGGATCTCTACCCTCGAATTCCTTATTGACATTCTCGATCATGGATCCCAGACTACGTTATCCACCCCGGCCAGTATCACTACCTCAACCAACAGATGAAGAAGCCAATTTTGCACTTCTCCAGACTTTGTCTACCTGGCCGGTTGATACACATCTTGCTTCACCAGCCCTATTTGATCGAAACGCAAGGTTTAAAGCCACCCGCCTTCCCTCCCAAAAGTCCATCAATCGCCGCAAAGCTCTGGCTCCTCCAGGATCCTACCCTTCTATAGTTGCAACCGACCCCCAAATACCCATTATGCTTCTCGCATCTCGTTCTATATCCGGATCTTCCTCGCAAGGAACCTGGACCCTTCTCGCGCCTTGGAAATGCATACTACCAATCTGGTACGGCTTGGTGCACTATCCACTATCCTCCGGAGGGAATCCACGGTTCGGTGGCCTGGACGAGCTGCGACAGATCCATTTCGAACAGGGTGTCCCGTGGTTTCCAGCCGATTATCCTGGTACTGCTGCCGGGTCTGCGTGGGCAGCGGACGAGAGAGACAAGAAGTTCGCTGAATGGGACAGGAGGCCAAAAGGGAAGAGAGTCGAATGGGATTCTCTCGATCTGGGTGCTGGGAGGAAGGGGGAGATCGGACGAGGATGGTGCTGCGACTTTGAGAGGATTGTTGTTGGATCAATGCCATCAAATGATGGCGGCAAGTCTGCGGAGACTACGCAGGACACCCAGAAGACTCCAGATCATGACACCACTGCAGGCGCTGCAGGATTGATTAAGCACCTCCCGACCCAAGAGTTTACCTCCTTGCTATCAACCCCTCATGCAGATCTACCACCACCTTCGGCAGTCGCTGCTGTCCGCATCACGCTCGTCTCCCGCGGCGTTGCAACACCATGTGCCCGGATTTATCGTCTACCCGTCCCCGCGTCATCGCAAGAACCATCTTCAGCCAGCTCCCTCCCAACAAGCCTGCGCCAGCAGTGGCTCTCCCTGTTACCGGCCCCCTCCAAATCCAAGCCGCCCCCGAACCCGAAATCGAAAGACCTCCAGGGGAGGATCACACGCATCCCTCTGAATACCCCCTTGCCGCAGCGTGTCCGCCTGCTTGCACAGTCGCTGCTGCAGACGCCGCCGTGGCCCTACCCTGCCGAGAAGAAGACGGGGGAAGAAGAAGAAGAACACCCGCTTGTGCCCGGCGAGGAAGACCTCGTTGGGTTTGTTACCACGGGCGAGTTTAACCTGGCGGAAGGGAAGGGCGTGGCTATGGGGACTGTGATAGTAGCAAAGGCCGTTGAGGGGCTGAGATGGGGAATCGAGTTGGGTGATAAAGCGGGCAAGCTATGTATCGTAAGGAATGCAGGCGAAAGGATTGGGAGATTGGCACGGTGGGAAGCGGTATAAGGAATTAATTCATCTGTAGAACTTTGTCTCCATAGCCAATATTATTGATTGATTTTGGAGAACTTGGTTTTCAGCAGCGTGCCTGTCAGCAGGCTAGGTATGCCGTGCTCTCTCTCTCCCTCTCTCTCTTTGCCAGCCTCAAATTTGTGCTAGGTTCTGGAGGGTCTTCCTCGCGTATCTGTCTAATGATATATCCAAACAGTCCACAACTGCCCAGCGCACTTAGTTATACTGCGGGAGCTATGAAGCTCTTCGTTCGGGAGTTTTCCCCATTAGAAGTGGGTCACGGGAGGCCATCATAATCAACAGAACGCTTAGTTAGAAAGCTTCCCCGTTATAGAGCAACAGCATCCTTCTGGCTTCTTTGCAGCAACTCTTCAACTCTGCCAATTTCATCTTGCAACGCTGCTCGAGATTTTGAACTGGATAGTGGCGGAAGGCTCTCTTCCCTTGTGGAGCCCATATCCCCGACCCTCCAAGGTTGAGGAGTGCTTTCTTTCAAGCGCGTGGTCTTCCTTGTAGATTCAGTCTTTGAACCCGAGAAAGACCTGCTAGAGTCTTTGTAATGCTGGCGTTTTCCATGGTGAAGGCCCGTGGTTATTAGATCGTAAACATGCCTTGATATCTTCGAATCTCAACTGTCCTTGTCATTCTGCGCAGCAAATTGCTCCTCCCGCGAGCGAAGTGGCCGCCTTTTCTGCCTCTCTGCTGCCACAGGGAATCTTCGCGCAAAACCACAGATATTGCATTTCCGAACTAATACATCCGCCCATGGTTTCTTGCCCCCCTTACTCCTATTCTCCACCTCGCTCGTGCATGTAGACCCATCAATGAGCATCGTGTCGCAATTCTTGCATATCGAATGCTTCATGGCTGGAGACATCCGCAGCTGGGCTTTGAGAGACACCGTACGGAGGTCGGTGATTAGGTGGCGCGAGGCAGCCTGAAGAGCTTGTCCGGAGGGGCGTTCCAATTCCACATCTGGTGTATTCAGATCCTTGCCGTTTTCAGTCTGTGAGCTTCCCGTTGAGGTCCTGGAATGCTGTTGCTGGGTTGCCAGATATGTTGCTGCTTGATAGAGGTATGAGACTCTGCTATACAGAGCTTTGTTCTGGACGGTTCCAGCTTTTGCCTTGGCCATAGTGAGTAGAATAATACTAGCCGATGACTTTGAGCATCATGCGACTTCCCCTGGCTTCGTGCAGTCTTTGTTTGCGCTGTATCATTATACCGAAGCAGCATCGAATCGAATTTATTCCCATGCGGTCGCTTAGCGCAACAATAGATTGTTGCCTGGGTCACAAACTCGCTTAGTCAGACCCGCGCCCCAAAATCCCTTGATCGCGACGTCTTACCACGTCTTGCGCTCCCTTCTACAACATCAACCTCCTCCTCCATCTCCCTTCAGACCGACCTCATCGATTCCCACATACGTGCTATCGTCACAAGCACTCGCCGCCGTTGCTCCCTAACTCTCAGTTCGCACCTCTACCTCTTCACACCGTCACCTTTTCCCTACGCTGCTAAGCGTCAGATTCACCCGGACCTAAAAAATGTCTGCCGAAGAAGATCTCATCGACTACTCCGACGAGGAGCTCCAGACGACAGATGCCGCGCCAGCAGCTGGTGCTGATGCAAATGGAGGAGCCAAGAAGGGCGACTTGACGGTTACTGGAGGCACTGCGGACAAGAAGGGCAGTTACGTCGGTATTCATTCGACGGGCTTCCGCGATTTCCTGCTGAAGCCGGAGCTTCTACGTGCCATCACCGATTGCGGATTCGAACATCCTTCGGAGGGTCAGTCATAACTTTTATCCCCAAGCTCCATCATCCCTCTTGAAGCGCGTCCGTCCATCTCGCAAGCAAGAAGAAATACTCTGGTCCATCCTTCAACTAGTCACGGACGATCCTGGAATGTCTCATCTGATAGGACGCAAGCCTAAGCAGGTGGTCTGGAAGGAGATATACGCGAAAGCGAGAATCTCGTGAGTGCGACACGGTTGCGGGCAAGATGCAGATGCACAAACGGTGGCGCGGAGAGACTTCCAGGATCGGGTCGAACCAACGACTTTGTGTTACGTATCCTTTCGGGCGACGATTTGCGCCTTTAAAGGCACATGTCGCATCTCTGCTTCGATGTTTTGATTTCTTTGGGGGTAGTTTCTACTGTGGAAGTTGTACTGCGAAGATGGACGGACGTTGCGATCCCTTGCACATCTTCAAATACTTGGAAGAAACACTTTGATCTAACATCGGCTCGATTTACCCTACAGTCCAGCAAGTATGCATTCCGCAAGCAATCCTCGGTACCGATGTCCTTTGCCAGGCCAAATCTGGTCTCGGAAAGACCGCGGTCTTCGTTCTCACTACTCTTCAACAAATCGAGCCGGTCGCAGGCGAGACATCCGTCCTTGTTATGTGCCATACTCGTGAGCTGGCTTACCAGATCAAGAACGAGTATGCGCGTTTCAGCAAGTACATGCCAGATGTCAAGACTGCAGTGTTCTATGGAGGAACTCCAATCCAAAAGGACGCCGAGATCTTGAAGAACAAGGATACACACCCACACATCATTGTCGCCACCCCAGGTAGATTGAACGCTCTTGTGCGCGATAAATACCTTCGACTTGGCAGCATCAAGGTCTTTGTTCTTGATGAATGTGACAAGATGTTGGATGCCATTGGTAAGACTAACTATGATATACCATGTTACAAATACTGATCCTTTACAGACATGCGCCGTGACGTCCAGGAGATCTTCCGTGCTACCCCCACACAGAAGCAGGTCATGATGTTCAGTGCCACTCTATCCCAGGATGTCCGACCAATCTGCAAGAAGTTCATGCAGAACCCTCTTGAGATTTATGTTGACGATGAGACCAAGCTGACTCTCCACGGTCTGCAACAATACTACATCAAGCTGGATGAAAAGGAGAAGAACCGTAAGCTCAACGAGTTGCTTGATGAGCTTCAATTCAACCAAGTCATCATCTTCGTCAAGAGCACAATCCGAGCCACCGAGCTTGACAAGCTCTTGCGCGAATGCAACTTCCCGTCCATCGCAGTCCACTCCGGTGTGAGCCAGGAGGAACGGTACGACCCAATGTTACTCAAACGATTGCCGTGGTGACTGACAAATGAAAACAGTATCAAGCGTTACAAGGAATTCAAGGAATTCAACAAGCGAATCTGCGTTGCTACCGACGTCTTTGGTCGTGGTATTGATATCGAGCGTATCAACCTCGCCATCAACTATGATCTCCCTGCCGATGCCGATTCATACCTCCATCGTGTTGGTCGTGCCGGTCGTTTTGGAACTAAGGGTCTCTCAATCTCATTCGTGAGCTCCGAACAGGATCAGGAGGTATTGAAGGCGATTGAGAAGCGGTTCGAAGTTGCGCTTCCGTAAGTTTATGCAATAGCCCAATACAGCAGACAACGTTACTGACTATCAATGTGCAGGGAGTTCCCAGAGGGAGGTATCGACTCCAGCACCTACATGGCGAGCTAGATCACTTGATGCAGTAGATCATTTCCATCTTGCAAGATGCACTCCCGTCGGGTTATCTTGGTCGGTTTTGCGCGTGTTTGAGTTATTAGTCTGGGAATTGATACGGATGGGGGCTTCCTTTTTTTTCCTTTTTTGACAAAACGGACAGAACAGAATCATAGGAGGGTAACCGGTCAACATATGAATGGATCGTACCGTGGCTCAGGCCAAACTAGTGAGATGCGATGCTACAGTGTATGCAATACAAAAGTTCTCTCCTCGATCTTCACTCGATCTTCACCAGCGACATGTGTACGTGAATAGGTATGTAAATGCGCGGTAATGTGTTCTCTGTTTGGCACTGGTGCAGTGTTCCTCTAGATTCTACGTGTTTGGAGACGTGCGTACGTGGATCAGTCCTTCCGATTGATGCATGGCAGCATGACGAGATAGGGGAGAGGGGAGGAAGAGAAGAAGAAAAGGGGGAGAACTCGAAATTGGGTTAGAACCTACCTACCTATACCTTAACTGAGGTAGCTCAAGGTACCTTACCTTACCTATAGATAAGGCAAGACAAGCAGTCCGCGGGATCCTGCTAGCAAAAGGGGGTTCCGAAGATATTCGGTACATATATGCATGCAGGAAGACCCGCGACTCGCGAGTAAGGCAGGGCAAGTAGGTAGGTAAATAAACGTATATTCACGGGGAAGGAAAAGAAGGAGGGGAGGACGGGGGCCGAGATGCCGGTAGTGGAGATAAGGGACCGATTATTTCTTGCTCATCGGGGGCTTGGTTTGGAGAAGGGAGAAAGATGAAGGAGCTAGCATCTCTGGATCTGAGGTACAGGACTCTCGTGCTCTACCTTATCTATCTGCAATATCAGTATCTATCTACTCTTCATCGTTGTATCATTGGTCCTTTCTCCGCAGGATAATTGTGAAAAGCAAGTCTTGATTGATACGAGAATGTAGATGTACTGTATGGTGCACATACATACTGTATACATATACAGAACTGTATCGCATTTCTTTTCTCGGGGAGGGAGAAGGGGGAAAGGGAGGAAGAAAAGGGGGGATGGCTCGGCTCGGATCGATGGATGATCCGAGGGGTGATGGGGGGATGGGGAATAAGTAAGTAGAGTAGTAGTAGTTGGCAGCATTGTGGCGCATATATATATGCCATCTTGGGCAGGTGCAGCATCGATACCTTAACGTCGGGCATTTTATGAAGGAGTCGTGGAACGAACTGTCATATAGGGATTTCGTATTTCGTGTTCCTGTGATCAAGAGTTACAACATGGGGCCGAGGTAGCCCTCTTTTCGCTTGGGAATAATCTGTGGAGAGACACGAGAGGAACTGTGGAAATAGGCTTCTGCTAGAGAATTAGCTGGGCTGGGCTTGACTACCTAGGTAGGTATGGTAGGTTAGTAGGTAGGTACCTGGGTAGGTGACTTTGGACTCGAGATCGGGAGTGTACTGATCAATATAGGTGACAGGATAGTACCTATACTTGGTACTAGATGCGAGACGCGTTCGTGGTTTTTGCATATCGCGACCCTCCTACAAATTTGAAGCTCTTCTTAACTAGGTACCTACTACCGCTATTTACTGCTTTTACAATAGAGCTCCATCCTGTCTCTGTTGGTTGTTTGCCGCCTTCTTCCGCAGTTCTTCAATGGATACAAAAGCCGATGGAGTACACCACAAGCCTGTACCCCCGTGATATAGACTGATATAGATTGATAGGTGTACCTCGGAGACCAGTTAACTGCCAAGTTCCAATCGTTACCTTAGGTCCTTAGCAAGGCCCCTAGATACATGATAGGATAGATCTTCATGCTAGGTACAGGAGGAAAAGGGGCTTGAGCCTTACAAGTTCCCTACCTTACCTAACTAGGTACCATAAGGGCTGGCAGCCTGCGACATAGTATTGTGCATCTGAGTTCCCTTTTTATGCGCTATTGATTTTTTATTCTTTCGCTGTGTATCTTTAGTTCTTGATTCTTTTTATCATTACGGAGTATTTCCTCCCCGCCGTGAAAATCCGGCAAGGCCTTTCCAATAGTCGGGCGGGGGGCTCGCCCTATCTGCGTGCTGTAAGACATCAATGATAACATGTCTTTCGTACGGTGGACCGTGTCGTGTCGTGTCGTGTATCATCCTGTCACGAAGTCGCGATATCAAAAAAAAAATTCTACGGACCGCATCTACAGTACGAGCATATGTCTGCATTTCTCTGTGTGGTCCTAGATCCCTCCTCCCTGTGGCCGCAAGCAGCGACATACATATCCAGCGGCGGTGAGGGGGGGAGTTGAGGACCAATAATGCAGAAGAGACGTCGTCTTTTGTATCAAGGGGAGGAAAGAAGAAAGGAAAAAAAAAAAAGTTCTATCCGGATCTGCCGGCTGTGTGATTGAGGCGGTCATTGGGTATGTACCGTGTACCTGGCACAGGAATAATCAGGCTTCGTATATTCCAAGACTCAAGCTCAACCAGCGGCTTATCAGCAAAAAATACCGGTTTTCCTGCGGGACAAGCATGTACGGAGTAGAGTGCCATTTCGCCACTAGCTGCCCCTTCAATATCGGCTGGGGCCATGATTCTGATGGCTATTTACGGAGTCATCATTAATTAGAAATGTTTAGAAATAGCATATTATAGCATTGGCATTTTGGCATCTTCCAGGTTTCCCCTTACTTTTGCTGGTAGTGTCTCCATAGCTATGTTAGCAGGTTCTCCATACGGAGGGGCCGGTGGGCCTGGATAGTGGGTACAGAGTCCATGGGATAATCAGTGATGGGCGGGCTATGCACTTTGACACTTCCCACAGTAAGTAATACCGCAACTCGCTGGCATCGCACGTCAAAAGGATCTCCTTGGTCAGTGTTGTTAAGCCCGGCTGCACGTGCTTCTGCGTGGGCATCGTCAAGCACGTAACAGAGTAGTAGCCAGCAAGCAAGAAAGAGCTGATCTGCGACGGACGGACAGGGCTGTGATTGATTCCTTCTCTTGACTCCGGAAACTCAAAGCTCCAGTCCTGTGCCGGAGAGTCGGAGTCCGGGCAATGCGAAGAAGCAGAAGAAGAAGAGAAGAAAAATACATGGTGTTGAATAAGGCACCTTATACAGGCTTCTCCGTCTGCTGCTATTGTACTGTCCTTCGTACAATCCCGGTGATATGTGAACCCTGCTGCCTCTGCTCCGCAATGCTACTTGTACTGGAAGTCTGTAATAGACAATAATTAACCAGGGACTACTCCGTAGAGAGCCAAGTACGCGGACACTACGATACGACGATAGTGAGGTCCTGAGTAACTGGGGCGTTCCTCGATTAGGATATGCTCCCACGGTGACAAGGAGCAAGGCATCGAGACATGAACCTCTCTCATATTATCATCCGGCCATCTACCCTCTCGTCCGTTCGCCCTTGCTCTGTGCTCTGCGTCGCGACTGCTTCGTGTTGTGGACGTGCCTAGGTACATGCTACTTGCATAGCACGTACTCGGCTCCCTTGCCTTGCCTTGCCTTTACACGACTCCTGCATTCCCTCTCTCTGCCTCTCTCTACCTCCCATCTTTTTTCCTTCTCCTTCGGAGGCCAAGAGATCGGTATCCAGTGCAGCTGCTCAACGGAGCGTGGCGCCTGCTGTCCTGTCTGCACGCTGCGAGAAGAGAAAGCTTCATTCAGCCTGCTGCCATAGGAAAAAGCACAGAGTCGAACAGTGAGGACTCGAAACTGAAGACCCTCTGCAGACTGTGCGGGTAAGCAAGCCAAGGTCGCCGGCGAAGAAGCCCAACCCATCCCTGCATGTGCTCGACGAGAATTGTCTGTCCATACCATACCATCGTCGCCGTCTGCCAATTCGACTCTCTCAGTCCCTCGATCGACCCATTCGAACCCGCCCAGCAGTCCATGAGGCCTTGTCCATCTCGAATCCCCAGTCTTCCTCGAACCTTCGCGCCTGGGCAAACAGGCGCTGGTGGAGCCCGTCATCCAATATACAACGTCCCAGACGGTCCCCAACTCCCAAGTCCCGTTTCGCTCGGCTACGCGAGGTGAGGCCTGGACACCTGAACCTTACATACGGTCGTACATACATACATACACACACAGTACATACACGTACACAGGGCATCCTCGATCTCTCACTCAACCATCCATCCGCCATCCTCCATCCTCCATCCGCCATCACCGTCCTCTCTCTCCCCTTTCGCGCCTCACACCGCATCTCCCTCTCCCGCTGCTCGAGTTCGGCACATCCCGTCTCGCGGCGTCACGCTCGTTAATAATAGGCCTTCTAGCAGTCCTCCCCGGATCCGCTTGCATCAACCGTCGTTTGGTGCCAGGACGCGAGGCAAAGCTTAGTACAGAGGCCTTTGGCAACGGCCTCACTCGACTATAGGAGTCTAGGACGGCCTGACGGGTCCCTCCCTGCTACTGGCAGACTGCACCGCGCCCGAATACCCACCGGTGCTGAACCCTAAGGACTTGGTCATCCACGTTCCCGCATTCGGTCAGGATGGCTCCATCCCCACCCCGGCTGAGGATTCTCTCAGGTAGGTCTACCCTCGGCCAGCCCTCCACCCTTCAAACCACCATCCCTCGTCTTTTTTTCCACGGCCGAGAGAGCTGTACCACTGACCGCGTTCTCTCTTTTTTTTGTCCTTTCTCTCGTCCTGTGCACCGATTGTTTATGTCGAGATGAGTGACAACATCCCTCTAATCAGCGTGTGTGTAGTCGGCGGAAACGCGGTATCCGCTTTCCTCTCCTGGCGACTCCAGGCCACCAATGCCTGCGACGTGACTCTGGTGTGGAAGTCGGGATATGATGCTGTAAATCAGTACGGCATCTCGTTCAAGTATGTGCAGCATTCCTTTTCTTCGCCTTCAATGACGGCAGGCAGTTGACGTCCTCTCCTCACAGATCCGCAAAGTTTGGCAATGAGCGATTTAAGCCACGAACTGGTAGGTCTTTCAACAAGCACATCCGGGGAAGAGCAAAATGCTGACATTTGTGAAATAAGTTGTCCGCGCCCCAGAAGAGGCCGCGAGTGCAAAGGACGGTGCTTTCGATTATGTTCTGCTCTGTGTGAAGGCTCTTCCGGACGTTTACGACCTGGCAGCAGTCATTGAATCTGTGGTTACACCCCAACATACCTGCATTATCGTTAATACCACACACGCATTGGGCGTCGAGTCCCATCTTGAAACAAGGTTCCCTAGCAACGTTGTTTTGTCCCTTGTCTCTGGCGCCGAGATCAATCAGCTAGGAGCATCCGAATTCGAGCATAAGGGATCCGCGGAAATATGGGTGGGCCCTGCGAACAAGAATCCGGACATGCCTCCCACGATACAAGGGGATATGGCAGATGCTCTGGCTATGACGTTGAGCAGTGGGCAGGTTGATTGCCATGTGTCTCAGAACATACGGCAGAAGCAGTACGAGCGGATGATCGGGTAAGCAAATTGGTACCTTCTCTCGACTCACATATCCCGTGCTGACTATTGATATACAGCCCCATTGCTTTCCATCCGCTAAGCGTCATCTTTGATACTCCATCACATTCAGCACTGCTCGAGAAAGTTGGCGTGCGACAATTGGTCTCGGACCTGTTCGATGAACTCATCACCCTTGCCAATGCCCAGGATTGTACATTTCCGTCGGATTTCAAACAACAAACAATGAACGAGATGTTACGACCCACCGAAGTAAACAGCATCATGTACCAAGATTATGCTGCGAAACGACCAATGGAAGTTGAGACGTATCTGGGCTCACCGATCAAACTTGCCCAAGCAGTTGGTGTAAAAGTACCCCGGATCGAGACGCTGTATTCCATCCTCCACAACCTGAATATCGTTAACCAGCAGAGAAAAGACACCGCAGTCGCCTCTCCAGTACCCGGAAATCTTCCACCTAGGTTATCCTCAATGCCACCTCCAAACAGGCCCATGATGAACGGCGCTGTCAATGGAAACGGAGCAGGTAGGGGCAGAGGAAGAACGTCGAGCATGAACGGACCACATCCCGGTGCGATGCGGAGGGGTCCTCCACCTGCGAATGGCGGCTTACCCAATGGTTATGGTAGGCCTATGAACGGAAACGGGTATGCGTCTCGAAACCAGTCTCGGAGGGGTTCTATGGAGGGCAATGATCTCGGGGAAGAGTTCAGTCATCTGGCGCTCTACAGCGACATTCCTGAGTCGGGCGAATCAGTTTATGGCGACACTCCTGAACTCACGCTTCGAGAACGCGAATTAATGTTACGGCAACGGGAGGTGGCTTTGAAAGAGCAGGAGATGCGCATGGGAAAGGGCGGCGGTGGACGTGGCGGCCGTCGAGGTCCACCAACGCCTTCCATCCGGAACGGTGGAGGGTTTGACGATGACGACGATGACGATTTTATCGATCCTATGGATGCCCCCCCTGTGCCCCTGATCGACCCTGACAATTTCGACATGATGAGTGTCACATCTAAGCGGAACCGCAAAGCACCCAGCGCCAGCCAGCTGCGCAAAAACCCCGAATTCGACTCTCAATCGAAAAGCGGGAGACTAATGCGCCCAGGCTACCCAAGAAACCGATCAAGCGCTAAACTTATTAGCCAGGTGCCAGGCTTGCACGATTCTATAATGGATGATCCATTGATGGGCTACTCGTCAAATCGGTATGCCAATGTGGACAGGCACCAAATCGGGTCCGATTCAAGGACTAACTCACTGACTATCGGTCGTCTCGACGAGATGCAATATGGTAATGGGGGCTCGCAAAATGGACCATACCCAAGAAGAACCAGCAACTCACCGGGTACCCAGTATAGTCCACAGCTCGAGGGAGTGAATGAAGGTCGGTCACCGCTCAACGGATACATGGGAACTCCTCCGAACGGAATGCGTCAGCCGCCCCAACGCCTCCCGTCGGGCCAGGCCAATACAATTCCGTCGCCGCAAGTTGAGCAATATGCTGGGGTGAGCGCCCTTCATCCACCAAAAGGCAATAATGTGAACGTTCGAAGTCTGACGGGTAGTGCCAGCGCTAGCGCGGGGAGTAGTGATAGTGCCAACATCGATTCCGAGCCGTCTGCGCACAGCAGCCAGAGCAGTCTCGGTCCTCGACCCCCGGTGGACGTACGGTAATAGACAAGGAGTTGGAAGGAATACCTTGCTTGATATGTGCCATGTTTGAAAACGTGGCACTATTCTCGTTCTCGAAGCTTCTTGCGGACATCAAGCCTCCGGATCACATCTAATAATGTCCACGACCAAGGCTCTTTTTTCTCGTTTCTTGACCGATCGATTCCAGCTTGCATATACATTTCGTCTTCTCAAATTCGCTTAATGGGGTGTCAGGACTATGGTGAACGGGGGGTGGGGAAAACATGACCATGCCTACGAAACGACCTCGTGGCAATAATGATGAAAACCGGATAGACTTTGGGGACCTGGAGGTATAGCAGTCTCTGGTGTCTCCATCTAATAGTGAAGGATGACCAGTACATACGCATGCGGTTCCACGCGCATATTCTTGTTTTAGTCATTCTGGTAATATGCATTGGGCATTGGCGTCTTCGATGTCCTGCATTTAATTTCTACTTTCCATTGTTGCGGATGTGCATCAAGGGTGCTATTTGAGTGCATGGGCAGTTTTGGGGGCGCCGGCCTTCATTAATGATAGAGGGGCTTTGCTTGCGGGCTGGAGAAACTGGGCGCTGTGTATCAATCAAACTGTGGCGATGGGAGTGAATACAGGTGAACGGACAATGAAATGCTGTCGGGTCTCTTGTTATGGTAGATATGCTTGCATAGAGAGACAATGGGATTTGCTGCCGTTTGGCACAAAAAGCGGGCCTGATGCAAGCACGCAGTCATTTTCAGCAACAATATGAGAGTTCTCTTGGACTGCGACCTGCATGCATGTTTTCTGGCTATGAATCCTGTGATGCGCTGTATACAGTGAGTTCTTGTCCCGGTAATCATCGACTAGCCCAGATTAGGAGTGACCCCTGAGCGTATGCCTGGTTCCAACATATATTGGATGTAAACGGGGGTTTGTGCCACGGAGAGTTCTCCTTTCTTTCTTTTCCATTGGGTACGCCTTGCCTATTTGTCTCGGATATTTTGCGAGCATTGAACAGCAGTTGAGAGCATGAGCTGAAGCGTATCAAGCACATAGAGCGTAGAGACGTATTGCATGTAGTGTCTATGTATATCTATACTTGTATACATTAATATAGTACAAGACCAAGTAGGATGGATAGGTTTGAGATATGCTCGTAGGTTTGGAAAGGCAGAGTGGACTGGAATGTATAGGACGCGGTAGATGGTGGGTATCTGGGCTTTATATTAGAATTATCTTGTTAACAAGCAGTGGCTTAACCATCCTCATCCTCCACATCCTCGATCGTAGCAACCCTAGAATGCGCTGTGGTATTATCTCGATCAACTCCCGTCTTCTCACCACTCCCACTTCCCTCCGCTTCGCGCCGCACTGCCATATAACCCTCTCTCTCTAGCCTATCTGCCTCCTCCGGCTCCACCAAGCCACCCACACCCTTCGACTTCTCCATCTTAAGCCTCACCGCCGCCGGCACAAACGCCGCCGCCTCTTTCCTCAGATCTCTCACCACCGGCTTCGCCTCATACACCGTCTTCGCCTCCACCTTCGGCGCGCTAGCACTCCTCTCATCCCTACCCAATGGCGTCGCATTCGCATCCGTGCCTCTCTCCCGCGCCATCCTCTCCCTCCTCTTCTGATACCACCGATCCAAAACCTCCTTCGGAATCGGTGGCGGCGTATCTCTCGGCATTGGTATCGATTTCACATCCTCCGGCACCTCTTCACTCTCACTACTACTCTCCCTCTCATCTCTCCTCCTCTTCCCTAACCTGTGCCCTCCCGCATCCGTCCGCGGTCCTCCTCCAAACTTCGGCGCCGCATCACCCAGGGCTTCACGCGCTTTCTGCACGGCCCGTAAATCCTTCTCCAGCCCCGCAAGCACCGTCTTCTCATGGTTCGTCAATGTCCCGCCGCTGCTCTCTATGGCTTTCAAATCATCGATCTGCCGCTGTAGACGCTCTGGGTTGCGACGCGCGAGCTTCTCGTTGCGCCGCGCGAGGGCTTCGGCTTTGCCTACATGGTGGAAAGTGGTGGTTAGCTGGGGATATTTTGGGGAGGGCGTGGAGAGGGGTGAGGGCGAAGAGGGAGATACCTTTTTTTATGGCTTTGGCTTTTTCAGCTTTGCGCTGGGCTTGCGCGGGGTTGATGGTGCGTTCTTTCGGCATGGTTGTGTATTGTGGAGGGGTGTGAAGGGGGTTCGTGATGATGTCTGGGGAGTGGTTATCAACTCGAGGTATGCAAGAAGTTGAGATTCTGCCGGGAAGCTTTCACCGCCTTTGTGTCACGTGCAACAATACTCCTTTTCTTTGAATCTCCTTGCTTCGTCGCTAATTTCCTGAACAACTTCAACAGCGGACGGTTTCTAAACCGCTCTTATTCTGTACGGGATTTGGGGTCAAAACTTGTATGATTATTTGTGTTTTCATTGAGCTGTCAAGTGCAGACCGACGTTGTGAACGTTCATGGAGACCGTTATCTATAGCCTTGGTAGAAGGAGCAAGTTTGCTGCTGTCTTGAGCTATCTTAGATTTCTTTAGAAATTTAAGGGAGTCCACATTTCAGAATAATGGATTCTTTGTATCAGATCTGAATTTTGAAGGCAAGATTCAGGCTGCCGTTCGTGAAACCCTTAAAGAATCGAGAACGTACTGAGGGCCAAGCATGCGTGCTTCTATCTCTTGCATTGCATAAATTCCGCTTTCTTTGATCGTTGATTTACAAAAGTGGGTTCTGTTCCAATTATTCTCGCTATTCATTGCCACACTGTCATCATGGATACACCTCAAGATGGGATATCGCCTGGGCATACAAATTTCCAGTACCTTCAACCATTTGGCTTCCCAGTACCATCATCACCTCACCATCTCCCGCTCTGGGACCCCTCATCCCCGATTCCCCAGCGCTACGACGAAGAGCCATCAACCAGCTTCCCCCAAATTACTCTCCCAAGCGCAGAGCTCGAGAGTCTCTCCCTGAAAAGGAATCCCTGCCCCCTATGCAAAGGCAAGAAATACGGCTTCACCTCCTACTTCCACAACCGCTCTATCTTCCCCTCGCCACCCCACGAGATCCTCGCCCTCGTTGAAGAATCCTACCTCCTGAAGGACCGTCTCAAAAGCCTCCTAGTCACCTACGCCATGCGCGATGTCACGCCGGGGAATCTCTCAACTATCAAGGACGAGGTCAATAACTGGGGTCATTGGGTCGGTGTCCTGACCTGCGATGTCATGACTGCGGCCGCCTTCCCGCTCCGGAGGGAGCCGCTCGATGCCGTGCGCGCCTGGAGAGAGATGATGGTGTGGCGCTTGATTCAGCATGTGGAGGGTAAGGAAAGGTTAGAGATGCCGAGGGGGAGGTTGGCGGAGCTGTTGTTGGAGTTTCGGATGGTGTGGGAGGGGGTCTGGAAGGGGTATGTAAGGGATCGGGGAGTGGCAAGGGGGGAACCTCATCCTTTTGTATGAGTGGGGTGCCGAGTGTAAGGTCTAAGTGTGGGGTATTGAGTCTGGCGTACATGGAAACGCAGAAAGCAGATGACTTTAATCTACCCTTCATGCACTGTGTGGGTTCTATGAGTGAACTATACCTAAATATCTATAAAATAGGAGCAGTGACCACGCCCCTTGGGCGTGGGCGGGGCGGTGGGGCAGCGGGGTAGCAATTCTGGGGAATCTGCGCGCATAAGGCGTGGTTCTTCAATAGGGAAGAAATGGACGACCATTTTCGATTTCTTTTCGAATCTTAGTCCAATAAGCGTTCTAATCCCAAGATAGAATCCCAGGGGCTTCACCAAAAAATCCTTGGTGTTTGCAGTGGTGAGGCTACACGTGATCTGGATGTGTTCGGACCCCTTCTGCCTGTACCTATTTCGCACTTCCTCTGTTTTCGACAACAGCACCTCGATTTCCGGAATGGCTACGCAACTGCATCGCATTCCTCTGTACGTTACTGGTGTAGCTACTTGTTGACTTTGCCTTTGCAAGTACGGGTTGTGACTTGAGGAAAGGAAATACCAAAGGGCGGTGAATGCTCACGATGAAGGCCAAAACACGTCAAATTCAAAATCATGTGGAGAAAATAGGACAGCGACGTTAAAGACCGGCAATCAACGAATCGAGGATTATCTTTCTTCAAAAAAACCATTCCCTTCATCAACCAAAACTTCGAACTACGGCGAAAAATTAAAGAAAATCGAATTAGGACCCTAGCTCACTCGATGAAGAGAACTTTTCGCCTTGCGTCACACCAAACCATGAACCTGTATCAATTTGATCATGTTCCTCTCCTCCTTTGCATTTTCAGCAGTCACTAGGATCCAGGAGCGAAGCCTTGATTCATATTTCCGAGGAAAGTGACGAGAAACGCTCCATAACTATCATACGTTAGTTCGGGGTATGGGGGCAGAGAGAAGCGAAGGCCTACGCTGCAGTTCCTATCAATATTTCTTGTGTTCTAGCCTCAGACACTACCGACACTGCTATGGAAAACGCAATCACGAATATGCCAACGACCATGACCATCATGGCACGAGACAAGGCGACCAGGAACAAAATGAATACGGGAGTGAGCAGAAAGCCAACTGCGAGGCATACCGCAACAACGTTGGCAACGATCCTAAGGCGGGTATGAGAGTAGATGTGTATTTCGAGATGTTGGTGCTTGCTGTGTTCTTCCTTAACCTTAAGGAATTGCTAATATGAGGTCAGTCTTAATGCTCGGCATGTCAGGGAACGTCTGAAAATAGGTGGGGAAAGTATACATTGATATAGGATCTGGGCCTGCGGTTTGCAAATTCTTCTATTATTCCTTCGAGCCGACTACCCTGCTGCCCATAAGGCTCGCTACTCTTTGTTCCTGAGACCAGATCCGTAACGTGGCGTATGAAATCATCATGGCCCTTCCTCAGAGGAAGATACCGAAGTATCCAAGTGTGGAGGCTGCGGTGGTTATTTGGTGATGGCTGGCCAAGGGCCTTCACATCAACATACTTCAAAACAAAGTCATCTATATCCAGTCAGCAACTAGTGTTGATCTCATAATACCTTGGCTGTCCTTGGTCTCACAGTACTCTCTTATCTTGATTTCAATCTGTTGTAAGAGCTCCTTCTGCTCAGGATCTAATCCTTCTGTAAGATCAACACCACTGAGCCTGTACATCATCTCAGGATTAGCGGCATCAGAGGCGTCGAGTTGGTGAAGCCGTTTTACTAGCTGTTCTAACTCAATTTCGCGATGAAGAAGGATCCGGCAAGCATATGGAAAGAATCCTCGGAAAAGGCAAAAGGTTTCGTTGGAGCTGATCAGGGCAGCTAGTCGCGGGATACCTTGTTCAAACTCATCCACTTTCAAATTGTTAGCATCGTTCCACAGGAGACGTTTGAGAGCTACATACCTCTGTCGTACGTAACATCATCATATGCTTCTTGCCAGTCCTTTTTGATTTCCTCATATTCTCTCTGCTCGTCGCTACGCGAGCTGGCGGCGGCAGTCGGAGGAAGGTGTTGCGGCAGAGAACCGACAAGGAGGGGGCTCGTTGCTGAAGAAGTTCCTGTATCCTCGCAAAGTAAGTTCAACATCTCCAACGAATAAACATTGTTTCTTTTGTTGAATACCTTGAGTCTGCTCACAGTCTTCGTTAGAAGTAGGCATTAGCATTGTGTCGGGCTCTGCTACATTTTTCCTCGTGGCCAACAAAGGCGCTCCTACCTTGTTGAATCCGACCGAATCTGGTCCTTGCAAATAGCGGCATATTGCGAAGCGGTCTAGCTTGATTGTCACTGTCATTGTTAGGCAAATGTGCTTCCAATGGTTCAGTGACAAGAGGCGGTGCCCTCCTGAGCCTTTCAATAGGGGCCTCCATGATAGACCTTCAACGAGAATGTTACACTTGCAAAGGAGGCCATCACGGCTCACAACCATTATTACTACCCAGAATTCCAGGGGGGAGGGGACTGCTGCCCTATTCGAGCTCCTTACCCAACGTTACGCAGAACAGAACGCAAGGATAGGATTCGTGGATCTCAGACACACCTCCTAGAAAACACCTGGCAACCCTTACTAAATACGCCAGCTAATCAGCGATAGACGCTAAAGTTACCTTTTGCTGCAACAACAGATTTATGGCAAGGCTGTAGAATTTGAGTTGTAGCGGTGGTTGATAGACCAAGTCTGCATTGAGGAGAATGGATGGATCTCAAAGAAGAGGGAATCGCTGACGGACGCGAGAAACACGTGCAATTCAGCTAGAGACAGAAACGCTGAGAGAGAGGGGATGTACTCAGGCTTATATACCTGGGATTTTTAACTGCATGTACTACTACTTCATAATAGGGAGAGATGATTGGCCGGTTTGTCAATATCTTTTGCAACAGAATATAACAACTTTTATTTTTACTCGGTCAAATCGCAAGATACTATATATGAAATGTTCCCCCTTTTCCGTCTTCATAATGGGCTATACTAAATAAACTTGCTAGTAAGAATAGAATTCTGACCTCTCTCTCAGACAACCATTTTTCTGCTTTTCATCTATCAAACCTGCCCAGACTACCTGTCATCCCCTCCCCTCCCATCTCTAGCTAAGTCTCATAGCTGCACCACAAAAACAAAAGCGCCTTTCAAAGGGCTCAACAGGATGTCAATCCATCCATGTCTTCTTCCCTTACACTTTAGGCTCTCCCCTGCCCTCAACGTCTTGCGCCCGTGTTTCTTGGATTCGGGTTCGGTTTCGGCACCGGGTGGTCGGGATACTAGCAATGGGTCAGTCAAACCTCCTAATTTCCAGAGTTTGCCAAAACTTACTGAAGGACGCTTAACTGGACTCCATGCCATAGTTCCGGCTCCGAGCTTGGGAGGTGCCTTATTGCTGGGTGGGTTCGTTTTGCTCGTTTTGCTCGTCTTGTGAGGCTTGGGATTGTCGGCCATGGTGTAATAGATACAGTCACTAGACTAAAGCTTGAATTCTGCTGCAAAGCGTCAGGAGGTTTGTCTGGGGTTTGTTCGTTCTCCTTTAAACGTACCTCAACGAAAGAAAGATACACGAAAGACGCCGCGTCTGCACGAAATTCAGCAGTATAGGGGTGGTTCTAGGTTGGTCAGATCGAATCATTGAAATGAGGGTTTTGAGCAGGGTACTTGCCAGTAGTGAAGATAAAGAGTCAGATTCAAAAAATCACAAGTTGTCTCTCTTCTCCAGTTTGTATACACTGGTTTTTCACTGTTGTTGGCAAGGCTTTAGTTCTGTGTGTGGGAAGTTTCAAGGAGAGGGGCCTAGAGGGCGGCCAGGGCAGGGCAAAGAACCCATGCACTCCCCATGTACTCTCTGCTGGCCAGAGAGGTAAGAAAAATTCTGATTTTGTTAATGATTAGGGGCGCCATAGACCAATGGAAGACGGCGAGCAAAACCCTGGCGAGCAGTTCAACACATATATGACAGATAATCCTGTTCTCCCTTCCTTTCTTTCTTTTTCTCCCCATCACCAGCATCCTAAACCAATGAAGGGAAGTTCTCCAGCTTAGAGCACGTTTCCCCGTCAAGAGCAAGTCAGCTAAGTTAGCATCGGATCGGCCCAGGAGAGCTCATGAGCCGCGTGAGCCGTCTGGATCGGGAAAAGAGCAGCCATCTCGGGGCGTGCTCGGGGCGTGCCGCGAACTTCCAGTTATTCGGGAGCGGTCAGAGGATTGATGTATCAGCCTCCGTATTTGAAATTGCCCGACTACTCGGAGGTAAAGATCCGCATGCATGAAAGAATGTTCGTCCTGAGCTCAGCCCTGAAATTGATGAGGCTGTAATAAGCTGTTCCTGGGTGGTCCCCGCCTTTCTAGCCTCTCGTTTATGGCCCCGGCAGCAACTCCCCGACGTCCGAGCGACAATCCTCGATTTAGCTTCCACGACCTCCCATATTGCTCCAAAACACCTTTAAAGATGTGAGGACTTTTAGGGGAGTTCCCAAGCGTGCTGTTTTCCCTGCTCCAAGCGCGTTTTGCTTCGAATTTTTGAATCTTTGAAAATTTTGCTTCTCTGTTTTTGTACCTGGTGCCTGTGCTTCTATTTGGGCTTCTCCATAGGTTCAGTGGAACCCTGTGGCTGCTGCATCACTGCCACCGTTTCAGTAGGGATCTGCCAGCTATCAGTGAGCTGGCCGTGACATCCCGTCTCTTGCATTTGAATTTGCATTCATTCTATGTGTTCATAACTCAACTTCGAGTCACTGTCCTAAAGGTACGGAATAGCCAGACCAGACAGACAGTCCCGTCAGGAGTGACGCCCGCAAGATGAACTCAAGGAAAACATCATAAATCAGCAAGGTGCGATTCCAACAATTGGCAAGATTATGTACCCTCTATTCACAGGGACGCTCTTCTCTCTCTTATTTATTCTGGCCATACAGAGCGCTGTACCTAGTACAGGGGTTGTTGATCACGTGATGAGACGAGACGGTTGTGCGGCGATGATCACGGGCCGTGACTTGCATCGAAGCAAGAAAAGATGTGAGCCGAGCAGAGATAGTGGAAGCAAATATTCAACGTCTCTTTTCTCCCTCTTATTTCCCGTGAAGAAACGTTTAGCGCATTCTGGTCGGACGCACTTGCCAGAACGAAAGCCTTCTGCATGAAATCTCCCTCAACGTTGCATTTGGGCGGCCCACCCAATGGCACCCATGCGCTAAAGGCAGCCAGACATTGCTGAAAGGATACTCCGTACAGGAAGATGCACGTCATTAGATGATAGCACACAGAGAAGATGTCTGGTATCGAAATCAAGAGCTGCGAGAAAACAATCGGTACAAGTGTGCACAAAATACAGTAGCAGCTATATTGCCAGAGAGATTTGGGAATTGTAAATCAGCACAATCTGGACAGCTCCTTGAGGGTCACAGACAGTGGGGTGTTCCCATTTAGCCTGATGTATCTTCTAACACGTGTTTCCGACTGGGAAACCAAGGCCGTGGAGGGACGGAGCAGAACGATTATGGGAGGCCAGTCTTATTATACTTGTGGATGAGACGGATAATGCATACTCGGATGTGAGACCGTTAGCCACTCATGAGTGTTTCCTCCCCTACCTGCTCCTTATTTCCCCTCGGTGCACACTGAAGATCTCGGAGTCCCTTGTTTCCAAGCACTTTGCTTCGGGTCGAATTTGCAAAAGATCCATCGCCGGGATCCTCGTGATCCTAGAGCTTTCCAGGTATTATGCCTGAGATACGGAAAGAGTGCAAGGGTACTGAAGAAAGACCTGAGGGTTGCTGCATCCTGGACGAGAAGCTGAGGATTTAGGTTAGGTCCATTGGGTTTCGTGCAGTGCCATTCGATTGCCAATGAGAATGCTGGAACAGCGAACCACCAAGCATATTGTTTGGATGATGTTGGTCATCAATGGTCACAGGTCCATTTGGGTTACTCTGTGAGTAGTACAGATATCAGAGCCAGCTACAGCACCCCTCTAACGCTATCGAATGCAATGCACTATTTTGTTAGTCGCCTAACTGTAGCCCTCTTGAAGCTTCTCCTCAAGGCTGGAGAATTACTTCTCCCCTCTACTCGAGCCCTATTTTTCATATTATGTTTTAGGTCGAGGGTCTCTACTCGACATCCATTCTGTCTGGCGGTCTTTCTATACAGCCGTACCACCAGATTGGTTTATCCCTTACCAATGACTTCCTTCCGATTAGAATGGAGCACGATGTCCTTCCCTTTCTCCAAGATTGGCAGCAAATACTTACCGGATGCCATCAGGATGGTCATTAACCTCATTACTCCATCGAGTTTATCTAGAGGGCAATATAGTCGCTTTCGAGTACCAGTGCCGTATGTAACTCGCACCTCTGAAAACTGAGGGTTCAGATAGCTATGGACGATGAGATTCAGCTCGCGGCAGATTCTAGGTGCTAGCAATGGTTTATGTTAGTCTTTGTCCAATACTGCGTCTCATTTACACCTCAGCTAACTTGTGCTTCTCTGTCCAGGCGGTTGATCTCTTCGAGGAGAGGAGAAACTTCCTGGGATGATTTCCATCGAACAATCATCGATCGGCCGCCCCCTCATCTGCTCCAGCCCTCATCGCTTTTTTTCTTTGGTAATCGAAGAGCTGCGGAGCTGGATGAAATTGAGAATGATGATCCTGAAGCCTCCAGTCATGGTGGACAGGCATCCCTCGTTTGCAACATCCTCCGCGCCTTCAGTCTGGTTAGAAACCGATGCCTTTGAAAGTAGTCTGAACCTGTGGGCTTGGCAGCTTGCATCAACTACAAAGAGGCGCATTATCTCTTTGCCCAACCTCGGAAGCTCCACTATCATCAACCCATTCCCCGAATCTCTTCCGAGGGACACGATCTTTCCAAGAGCCCAACCAGTCGGTGTCGAACCAATCATCCCAGGTGCGCAATGCGTAAAACCGCTTCCCCGCCTCTCTATCAACTCATATTCTTGATATTCTCTACAAGCTTGACAGTCATTTCAGTCTTCTAAAGTGGTGACCGCAAGTGCCTAATAGCTTCTTTCGAGTTGCATTCTTCAAGTTCTACATAAATTCAAACCATCCTTCTCGCAGTTAGGAATATCCACACCTTCCAATTCCAAGATAGAGTAGAAGTCAACTCTACAAAAAATAAGTGCCCCCTACAAATAAACACACAAGCTTCCTTCCCTCCATTCATCCAAGGCCCGTTCACAATTAACACAACTTTTCCAGCTGTCAAATTCTTACACACAAGACCTATTCCTAACACAGGCTTCTTGATTTAAATAGAGAAGTATTGGAAAAAAGACCACAGTACCTTCCACAGCCCTTTCTCTACCTACCTCGTCCTAGCCGAACCCCCTGAGCCACTCGCCAAAGCATAAGGTAGGTAGGCGAGCGCTCTGTGCAACCATCCGGGAATCCTGGATCAGGCTACACCTAAATAAATAGCTTGGCGGCTAGAGAATTACAATCCAAGAAAGCTGAATGGAAGGTTACATGAATGAATTTTGACCTAGATTTGCTGTTTAATTGGCAGATGATGTATTCCCCGGGTCTCCCTCCCCCCTGGCTGCTGAAAATCTTCATTGCCGATTGGGAGCACGTGGGAATCAGTAAGTGATTGTATGGCCCAGGTTGGGAGGGAGTTGCTGGTTCTACTCCCTGTCCATTGTTTGCAAGCCCAAGCACCTGGGATGTGGTACCTCGCCACCAATAGACAAGGTTCTGTATTACCACATGTAAAATCTCATTGAGCTTGTGGGCGGATTGATCGTGGAACTTGGGTATCATATATATTCGCAATCCAATCTAATCCTATTATGCTGTTTCCCAGTTTTGAAATCCTCATGCAAACCGCAACACAACCCTCCACCCCAGCGCGCCGGCCTCCCTGACGGCGCAGGCGAGGCAACCTCTACCTTTCCGACTAATAAGCGCATTCCAGCCCCTCTCAGCGCACAGGGCTCTGGCCAGGACCTCCATGTCACTCCCGAACCTATGCTTGGGCGGATGCGGCGTCTGGGGCGATGGGCAAGGGCGCACAGGGAACGCAGTCATGGAGTAGTCCGTGCAGTCGATGACGAGCACCTTGGGAATGGTGCTGTTCGTAGTGTGGGTCGTGGAGTGGGCTGCGTCAAATCCGGGTATGGATGGAGAAAGAAGGGATTCGAAGGGAAGGTATGCTGGCAAGGAAAGAAGATTGTAGAGAGTGAGTTTGGTATATGTAAAGGCTTTGTGGAGTGGGTGGCCTGTTATGCATGATTAGTTTACGTCAGCGGCTTCTACAAGAGGTTTCAATGTACCTGTGGAATTCCAAAATCCAGGTCTGTCTGGGACCCGGAATGCCGAGCTTGTTGGCGATTTTAGTAGCTCAGTGTACTGCATGGCAACGCAGGGGTGAGCCGTCACAAAGCGGGTGTCGTATTTGAGAGAAAGGTTTATCTCATCCGTGCCTTCTCCATCAGCATCGACGGAAAACCTCATCTCCGCAGAGTATGTTGGAATCGCTGGCGCCTCGCTGAATTCGCTCGAAGCTGTTGATGGATCTTTCATCGCTGTCGTACGAACGGAATCTGTGGCGACGAGGTCAAGGGATTCCAGTTTTATGGAAAGAGCTCGCTGAATGGATTCATCTGACGGAAAGGTGAAATCACCTGGCAAAACCGATGAAGTGTCGGCGCCGCCGATCACATGGCCATCAGTCTCAATAGATGTCTTCTGCCATATCCGAGGTTTTCTTTTGTCATTATCTGTTGGTTCCGTGACATAGCATTAGCAAGTATACAGTAAAAGTCCGTCTGAATCTGACTGGGAAGGGGGTATTTGCGCCAATCCGCAACGATAAAGAGGACTGAATTACCATTATGTGAGAGGGGCTCCACACTAATGTCTAGCCAACCTTCCCCGGCCCCTTCTGGTACTATATCTGAAGATATCCATCCCACACATTCAGAGGCCCCTTTTCCGGCAGCCAAAACCCTCCCGACTATACAAGCAGTGCTCCAGAAGCTTCGACCACCATAGGAAAATCCCCCATAGAAATTTGCCTCCTGCCCTAATGTCGAGACAGCAGCATCATCGTTCTCTAATAAGGTAGAGATCATAAAATGGCTGAGGCCTTCACCGGGCAGAATGAGGCCACTAATGTAGGAATTCGAGAGCCATCCGGAAGGATGAAATACTGCAGAAATGTTCTGTGATTTGGGCAATTCAGTTCGCATATCAGGTCTTGGGGTCGGAAAGTAGGAATCAGAGCGTCTGGCCAATGCTGACAGAGGTGTACCTGCAGCTAGATTGCTTTGTAAACCCTCAGATATGGCAATGCTATTGTCCGTGATTTTTGCCGCAAGAGCTTCGGCGTTGGGCCAACTCAGCTTGCGAGCAAAGTGAAGTAGTCCAGAAAGCTGTCGTCTTTGATGCCTGCCCTGAAACTGAATATCGTGAATAATATCATCATCTGCTTCATCTGACAGATCTGCGGTCCCAGTTAGCGTCGCTAGCCAGCCTGCAGGCGCTTTCTTGGCCGACTCAGTCACTGCACTCCTTATCTCGATCTGTATGTTCTCAAGCCAGCAACGGGCAAGGATGAGGGACCATCTGACGCTCATAGTAGCCTTCTTGTTAAAACGCTTAATATCCGACGGCTGTGCATCCTCAAGACCACGGTCTATATTTATTGATATTGCATCGAGCCGCAAAAGTAACTCACAAGACAAGAGAATTTGAAGCAAGAGCCAATACCTCTCTATGCCCGCTTCGTGCGCAATCTCTTTGTTAACCATAATATCGTCGTCTGTGTCATTTTCGACTGGTGAACCCCAAAGAATCTGGCCAAGCCTTATCCGCCACTCGGGGAGGCTGAAGTCAACCCAGACGGGAGCAGCCAGTGCTTGAACGAGAGCCTCGATCTGGACTTGAAGACTGTATGGATCATGGGAGTCAGTGACTCTTGAGGGAGGAAACAGAACCTGGGTGAAAAGCTCTGTATATAGGTCCACGGTTGGCCGCTGACGTTTCAAGTAATCATCATCGTGGTAGGCCACGCTTGCACTGGCGAGACGCTCTAGAAGGATAGATTCAGCCAGAGGCCTCACACCATCCTTCCCATTGAGGAAAATTTCTCGGCGCTCCGAAAGAGACTCCGGATATCCATCTGGGAGAGGCTCTGGCTCTTGAAGAGCATCTGCCACTCCAAGCTCTAAAGCCGCAGTAAAACCAAGTGTCCCTCGTTCCATCCCCTGCATGCTGAGCATGTTGGGCCTTTCCCGGCAGCTTGGTAAGTAATGAGCCTTTTGCTTTTCATGATGCTCAGTGACTGCTGTAGAATTGCTCTGAATATCTCGAGTGATATGCGGCAACGCTGTTATAGAGCTCCATGCCTCGTTCTGGATCTTTATATGGTCACAGAGGTCCCGTATCTCCACCTCCAAATCCCAAGGAAAAGCGACGAAAGGATGCGGTGCACCTGTATGATGCCCCTCAGAGCGCGCAAAGAACTGAGGTGCCCCAGAGAAGAGTTTTTGTAGTTCTGGCAGCGCGAGTGGCGAGATGATTCTCTGAGGATTCTTGGTTGGTCTCGGCGACTCTGACTCAATGGTGCTGGGTAGAGGTGGAAGAGGCAGAGGTTTATTTGGATTGGACATGATACTCGCAGGCGTGAGAGATTTTCGGGAGTGCGTTTGAGAATTTCGTGGTGACTTCTAATGAGAAGTCAGCGATGAGACTATAGAAACATTTCGAGTAGACAAATTCTTCTGCGACAAGAGGAGCTGCTCATACCAAAAACTCAAGTGTCCCCCGTTTTGCCTTTGAGTTACTGCTGGGTCTCTTGAGTAGGTTGCGAAAGAAGTGGCGTTTGGATTTCCTCTGCTGCTCCTTCTCTTGCTCTGTGGTGTCATTGACCATGTTGATACGAATGTCATTACGATCCTGGTTGTCAATTTGCCCCCTTCCCGCCCTTGGATGCTTCAAAAAAGAGGGAAAGGAAGGCATCTTGCAGAGCAAGCTTTACACCACTGCAAAGAAAGTAGAAACACTAGAGGTCCTCCGACCCAGATGGATTGGATATACGCAAAACGAAAAGGAAGACGCAACCAAATCGAGACACGAGCGAGACTTTACTTGCTCCAAGCCCTCATGGCTCGGACTTGGAATATGATCGATTATAAGCAGTCTGTGACCCTGTCCAGGTGAAGGGAGAGGCAGAAGCAGGTATCTTGGAAGATAATAATGGTATTGGTCGCGGCAGAAATAAATATCAGATGTACGATGATCGGCGCGGAGGCGTGCTGACGTTTGAGATAAGGGCGGAACAGCCTATCCTTAGGGTGCCTGAAAGAAAAGACAGCTCAACCTTTCGTTTCAACGGCCAAACGTGTACATGTGTATTTAGAGGCCAGATTTCAGTGCCGGGTAGTATCAACATGTTTGAAAGGTAAAGTAATATTCATATGCGTGGATACGTATCGGCCCCGGTTCAGCCTCGCCATAGGGAAAATCTGGCTAACCGACGCTAGATATCCTTGGCTTCATTCCTTCATTCATGCGTGGGGGAGATCAACCAGTAAGGATGAGAGTACACTTGAGACGGTTGAACATCACGGGCAAGTCAAATTTGTGGGAGCAGTCTGAAGTTTCGAACCTTGATCCATTTGTCTGAAAGTACTCCCCCAACTCCACCCGGGTATCATCGCTATGCAGTAAATACTCCGCAGAAAACAATCCCTTTTGAGTATCCAATTTCGAGCCCAGCGTGTCCCTTGGAGAAGCCTCGAAAACAGCGACCAGATCTTTATGCATGAAACATCCCTCAATGTGAAATTCTGAAAAGGTACCATACATCCCTTACACGCCAGAAATCTCGTGCACAACAACAAGTATGTATTTCGGATCCGGTGCGATTACAAGTTCATGCTTCCTCGTCCGCAGTCGAAGTAGTTTGATCTCGTCCTATCACCTCTTGTCAGCCCACCTCCGATCTACTTGATCTGAACTTATCATACTTCTGAATCTATATCAGCAATCAATGCTTCCGTACTCTTCACGTATTTCCACACCATCGCTGCTAGCTCTTCGAGATCTGATGAACCGGTCGCTAATTGCCCTAACCCATTCTCCGTCGCAGGTCGTGCAGAATTGGCAGACTGAGAGCTCTTCGAATGGGATATAGAATAGTGGCCTGATGTTTGTATCACGGATCCCAGCGAGGAATCTATTACCACCGTGGCGACCACGCCGGCCTTGCTGGAGAGCCGTGCCATGGTGGTAGACCATGAGCTCTGGGGGCTCTTCATGAGATTAGCATTGTTCATACTGAGCAGTTCCTTTTGTATCTTACCGATTGGTCCATGATTGGGAGTTGGAGGAGGATCTGTCTGCGTACCAGTCGAGGCCGTATGTCCAAGGCCCACGATTACCTTGAGACCGGAGAAACCTAAAAGCCCCACAAGCGTTAGGATCGGAGCGGATAAACACTAGGGCCGACTCCGGGACGTGAGTTTTCACCCCGCCGAAAACACACATGGGTTTTCTTCAGAAATCACACCTTGGATCAGTAATTCATCGACCACATACACGTGTGAAGGTGAATTACAATGGGTTCGAGTGTTAAGAAGAAGAAGGAGAAGAAGAAGGACTTCCAGGCAAGTAATCTCTCTTGCGAAGCTAGATGTGTTCTACTAACATCACTTGCCTGTAGAAAGCAAAATTGCGAGTTGGGAAGACTAAGGCTAAGGCCGACAACTTCACAGATACCAGCTTCAAGTCAAAATGTATGTTACGCTAACTTGTTTCTTCCATGTGGGGAACAATGTCATATCCCGCTTCAGAGACTTACAGAAGCAGCAATCGTTGTAAACACGCAATCTCTCTCAACTACAGCACCCGCCTTAGGATCACAACTTTACCATTACATATCTCTGGCTTCATCTTCACGCTCAGACACTCAGCGCCGAGATGCTCTCTCGTATCTTATCAACCAGTTTACCTCCCAACCAGTGAACACACCCTTCCCCGTCTCACCTATCATTCTTCTCGATAAGCTTATTCCTCTACTCCTGGATGGGTCTGCTTCTGTTCGGTCCCAGCTCCTCAAACTGCTGCGGCTTCTCCCAGCGTCAGAGATAAATGATCGTGCTGAGCCTGTACTGTTATACATCAGAGCTGGTCTGACCCACCTTGCAGCCGGAATCACTATTGATGCTCTAGCTGCGCTGGAATGGTTACTGGAAGTTGCGAGTGACGATGCGGTATCTTGTCCTGGTGGATGGTTCAAGACCGTGAAGTGCTTCTTGTTGATGCTGGGCTGGTCTGCTGGTGCTACATCCACTGGATGGACTACAAGCAACGCATCATTCGGCAAAACTGGGAAACCACTAGCACGACAGCTGCTTGTCTTCGCACAATTCTTGAAGACAGGACTTATCAACGATCAACCGGTCGTCCATTACAATGCTGGTAAAAACTTTCCGCTGTGGGATGTGGAAGCACATATGATCCCTTCGAGATCAAATGCCTATGCACGTCTGAATCTGTTTGGTTCACCTCGGGATGAAGAGGGTGAGATGTACATGGATGTAGACAGTCGACAACGTGTCTTCCATGCGAAGTTTCAGTCAGCTGTGGATGCTGGAATTGCGAAAGTGAAGAAAGAGGCCGGAGAGGCCGGCAGGGCGGCTGCTGTCTTGGCTAAGGTTGTACGTGATGGTATGGCTGGATACAGTGGCGTTAATGATACCCTCTAGATGGATTTCAGGTTGGAGTTGGCAGATGGTTTGATTTTTATGGGCGCCATCTTTTGCCTGTTGTTCTGGTTTACTTCATACACTTTACTGTTATTATAACGTGCTGGCGTTTTGGGGGTCGGTGGAACTTGGTAGCCCCAAGGGATTTCCTTCCGGACCGTTATCTCCTTGCAATGGAGGTCTGTACTGAGGTGGTTTCTAGACTGTTGGCTTCACTCTGTTATATACATTAAATCATATCCTGGTGTCGACGATAATTGTCACAACGGGTTGACTCCACGCTCCAATGCAAACGGTCTCGTCAGTGACCTTTCGAGCCTATCCTATGATTCTACTATTTTCTTTTTTCTGCTGAATTGTATCGTACTGATCTATGTATTGTCATTGAGCTCCTGATGCTCCTCTCCTTAACAGCAGAGCTCTCTAGCTGAGTAGCCTGCTATACCCTATCAAAGGTGCTTGATGCTACCTATGGCGATCTACTGCAGTTTGCATATCATACGTATACCAAACCAGTAATCATACTCTCCTATATCTTCTTGATGTTTATTATTCGGCTGATGACGTTCATACGATGTCTCCTGACAAGTGGCGGCCGCATGTTCAAACTCCAGAGGTTTCCTTCCGTATCATCTCCAGGTTTTATTCTACACATGGAACAATACCAAAAGGCTCTTCAAACTTTTTATATCCCCGACCAGCTATTAGTGTCGGATCGGACAGCTCTTTTCCATTCCGGAAATATTGAGTAACCCCTCTTGTTCTTCATCCTCTACGAAACTATTATATTCTATCAACTTTTTCAGATTGCGCTTCTGCGCAAACCTTCTGAAACCGTTTTCCATTCGCAATACATTGTGGAACGAGATGCGCAATTAGAGACATCGAGGAGGAACATCCGATATTTGTGAAACCGGCACTGGAAGAGAATAGATGCCTAGGACTGGACAACCAGACCTAATATTCATCATGTAGATATCATAGGGCTCTCGAATACCAACTTTTAAAAACAATTCTCAGAACATGGCTTCTATTGCCTTCAACCCGCTGACTTGCGGCGCGACCCCTTTGTAGCGACTTACTGATTCGAGTTAGTGCAAGGCCCCTCACCAACCCCACGATAGCACCTCACTCACAGCAACCATCATCCACGCCATCACCACTGACGCTCCATCGGCAAGGCATCAAAAGCTGCATGCTGAGACCCTCCTGGGTCTATAACGCATCGCGTTGAACACTTTACAGTACGTATTGTCCCCTTTTGATGCCGGATTCGCCCGTTTCATGGTATTTGCCACGTGCGCAAAGTTGCGACACGGAGGTATCATATAATTCCATCAGCATTGCGCTGCGATGACTATTACCTTTGGTGGGCTTTTTCATATATATACTGCAAGAAGAATTCCATTACTACTTGAATATGTCGACTTTCCGGGTGGTTTGATTGTCAGGTTTTGGTTCTGCTCCCTATTCTTTCCTTGCGAAGGAGCCCTCGCTATATATTCAACTCGATGCGCAACATCAGGACACGTCGGATATTCTTATTTCTGTATAATACCGCCATATATCTTTCTTTTGCTTTGCAGTACTTTCTTATATGTAACTTTGGTCACGTTATTTGTCTCTGCGCCCCTTGGAGGTGTCCGTTGAGCCCCTGTGACATCGGCCGGCTGCGGCTTTCTTCACACATCGTTTGATTGCTTCCTATTTTACTAAATTGTACTTCTTTCTGTATTGGTACTCCTCCGCTGCAGTTTTCTAGGGCAAAAGTCCGTTTTTCTGTGGAACAAGATTTCATTGGTCTTCTCTGCCACACCTTGTTGTCCATTAGCACTACTTTCCTTGTCCTTCCTGCAGGGCTTCAATCTCATTGTTTTCTTATAGACTGGCAATATAACGATATGTCAAGGCCCAAATTGCTAACAAATTTGATTAGGGGAGACAAAAATCCAATACTAGAGTTGATGGACCGAATCGCAGATATGGAAGCGTCTCCTCAGGCAGACACTGCCCCGAAGGAAAACCCCGACAAGAACCCAATGTTAACTAATGCACCCGCAACCGGATCTGAAACTGTTGTTGGAGTTAAGAAAGAGGATACGGAAAATGGCAGAGTCGATCCAACCTTAGCCATATTTGACGATGTCGACAACAACAGTGAGGAGGAGGGGCCCGAATTTGTCGATGTCGATCACGTGGGTTTCGTTGATCACAATGGTGTTAATTGCTGGGTTTGCCCAGGTTTGTACACTAGCAAGCTTTCCAAGTTCGCTATCGTTGACGCAACTCAAAGGCTTTAGAATACCCCAGATTCCGGAGGTATCAGTGGTGAAGCGGCCTCTCAAGGATCTATGTGGTATTTCTCCTTGGACATACTCAACCGGTCAAATAGCTAAAATTTTGACAGATGCCATTAAAACAAATGATATTGTATTGGATCCTAATTACCAGAGGGATGTAGTCTGGGACGACATGCGTGCCGAGGGGCTGATAGTCTCACTGTTAAGTTAGCCCCCTGTTTTGTTTCTTATCTGCATAAGATCGCTGAACATTTCCGCAGTGGGCTATCTTCCTCCACCAATCATATTCAATGTAAAATTACAGATCACTGAGACACCCAACGGCAAACTGAGGAAGCATATACGTACTTGCGTCGACGGCAAGCAACGGTTGACATCTATCCTAAGATTCATGAGAGGCGAAATTGGTTTCCTAGACTCAAAACACAAGAAGTGGTATGTGGAATGGTTCCCCTTCTTATTATTGACCTGTGCCTAACCGAACCGTACAGGTATTACGAGCAGCCAACTGCAAATGGCAAGAAGGTGACTGGTGCTGATAGCATCTTACCAACGGAAGTGAAGAATTTCTTCCTATCAAGATTTTTCATTTGCTACGAGTACAATGAACTATCGCAGAGTACGGAAGAAGAAATGTTTCAACTTGTGCAGAGAGGGATCGCTCTTACGCCTGCTGAAAAGATGCGTGCGATGTCGACCGAGTGGGCAGAATTTACCAGGCAATATGAAGAAGACTACTCGATGATTATAAACCGTCAGTATTTTGAACTGTTCTTATTACATTTTACTGACTCTAAGGATAGTTTCAAAGCAAGGGCGCGCTTCAGGCTTTCGGCTCACTTTGACAATTTTCGCGATGGTCCAGGAGGTTATGTCGAACAGAAGAAAGAATAACTCAGTTCCGACGCTACAAGCTAGCCCGCAAGCCCTCACACGAATGCTTGAAGAAAAAGAACCAATCAACCCCGTACTCAAGCTGAGGTTGAAGGCTGTTTTTGACCGCTACGAAAAGCTCGTCAAGCTCTCCTCCTCAAAAGTCACTGCGAAAAAGTATAAAGTCAACGTCGACTCGGTCTTTGATACTGCTCCTGACTTCCTACGTGGAGAAGGCTTCGATCACGTTCGCACTTTCTCGCCGTTAGAGTTGATTTCCACCGGAATTCTCATTTGCTACCATATGGAAAAGCGAACTGATGCCCAGTTGCTTAACGATGTGAAGGAGATGCGACGCCACCTGCGGATCAAACACAAAGACTTGAGAGTCAACGCTCAGTGCTGGGCTACCGTTTGGGAATTCATTACGAAAGTCGGATCTTCTGACAGCGTCACTCCTGAGATTGCCGAAAATAGCAATTCTAATATTGTCAACGGTAATGATGCCTCGGATGCTTGTGTGTCTTCATCCGAGACATCCAGCAACTCTGAAGAAAGTGCCGGATCAGTTGTCACTGCAGAAACTCTCAGCTCTCGGACTTCTCCATCTATATCCACATCGAGGAACGCCGATCTTAGTCAAGGAAACCGAGTCTCTCGGTCCGTTCCTCAAGCAAAGCTTGTTAATAGTGCCAAAAGAAGGAGAGGGAGGTTCAGGTCTGGCGCTTCTACAAAACACGCGGTTTCAAAGACCACTGCCTTTATAGAGACTGCTAGACGTCCTAAAGAACATGGAATTTCTGCTTTGGGACAAGCAAGCGCCGGTTCTGATGCCAGTGGAGAGACTAATTCTCCTGATCGAGCCAATTCCACCAACTGTAATGGCTCTTGTGGTGGCTTCAAGTCAATATGCCAGAATCAGCATGCCATCGATTTAAGCAGCAAAGATTATAGATCTGCAACTTCGTCGAGGCGATCTGCCCGTTCTGGTCTTGCGATGCCTACTGCACATACTGTTGGCACATCGACAAGAGTGACCAGAGGCCGGCCGGAGTTAGCTACAGTGAAGGATGGTACCGGTACTGTAGTTAAGGTAATCTCGCCAGCCAAGTCATCCGCAGCAACGAATGGCATTGGGACCGAAATTGATGAGGGCTCTTCATCCACGAGTTCCACCGATGTTGAAAACAGCATGAATATCAGCGAAGAGGATCATACCGTTATTGATGATGATGACTCGGATGGGTCCCTATCTTCGGTACCGTCGAGCGCTATCAGCAGTCCTGAACCTAGTCCTAAACCTCATGAGCTAGGTGTACACATGGGCAAACGACCTTTGGGCGATGGCGGCAATACCTTATTGGATATAAGAGGGAAGAAGAAGCTGAAACATTGATCGTTGTCAACATGAGGTAAATTACTAGTCATTGAAGGTGTTGCAGGGGTTTAGATGGATGGATATGTATTGCAGCTGGCGTTGGTTAGAAGGAGTAGTTTATTATACCAATAGCGCATATCTGTATATTAGGTTCTGAAGAAATAAATGCTTTGAAGACAGTCTGTTTGCATATTCTACAGAGCTGAGAATTTGTCCGTTGCTATTACAATATCAGATGTCACTAATCAAAACTGCTCAGGCAATGTTCATAGCTTGATTAACTCTCTTCCGGCAATTCAATTAGCAGAAGCAGACTGGTGGAGGAAGAGGCTTCTACAACCAGCACTCTGAAAAGATTTAGGATCGCTAACAATATTCCTGAAATTGATATCATGTATTATTTAGATTCTTACCTTATGGGTCTACAACTCCCATGGGCCCAAACCAAGGCCATCAACGGCCCATTCCTTCCAGCCCTTCTTCTCGCCCGGTAGCCTAACCTCCTCCCACTCGCTCCTCGTCACGTTCATCCATTCCTCCACCGGAATCCACCCAATATATGCTCTGTCCCCAAATCCCCCAACCCAGTATACATCCTGCACAACCAACCTCACCCAGTGGCTCTCATGGATATTGTTCCCCGGCAACCAGAATCTCGCATCGGGATGGGGTTTCAAAAAGCACTTCCGCAGCTCCTTCGCCGAGACCTCTGCTTCCGGTATCTTCTCCAGGTAGCCCAGGAGTGCGAAACGCGGCAGGTTCGCGGCGGAATAGCCTACATCCCTATTGTCCTTCTTGGAAGAGAGCAGAGAGGATTTGATGCGCGAGCTAGGCGGGTGTGGAGGGGTCCATTGCACTGAGAGGGAGATGTTGGAGCCCGCAGCAGCGTTTCTCATGTATGTGGACAGGGAGATGCCAAGAAGGGTCGGGTTTCCACTGTCTTCGCAGTCGGCTATGTATTCCGTGAGGCCGATGGGGATGCCACTGACGCCGCATCGTTCGAGCTCGTCAGCGTCGGAGGCGGGAGAATGGGAAGAGGGGAAGGTGGTCGATATCGTGGCCAGGGGAGTGAGGTTTAGGATTCGTCGGCCCAGGACGGCAGATTCGTAGGAGGTAGGGATTTTGAAGCTGGATTCGGTGGGGTTCGAGAACAGGTGTTGTGAAGAGAGAGAAGGTATCCAGCTGCTGGCCGCGAGGGGCAGGAGGGAGAGAAGAGCTGGAATAAGCATTTTAATACTGAACTGAGGAGATGATCAGCTACGTGAGAACTGATCTCGGCTTCAAACAGAGGACGAAGGGTTCAGGATGGCTACAAAGAGCACGTTCACATGAGGAGTGGCGTGCTTCTTTATCTGCACGTGAGACTGTGATGAGCCTTATCATAGGACGCTAAGCTGCTTCTAGGTAGTCCATGGAGCCTGAAGACAGTTACCTGCATCACGTGCACTTCACGGTTGAAATCGAGCCCTAGAAGACACTAGTGCAAAAACGTAAGCGAATCCCACGGCGTGAATCATTTTGATCTCTTGAATCCGACGGCGACAAGATCTATCCATCTACAAAGCCAACGCCAAGCAACTTGTGAGTTCCTTCCATCGCATCAAAGCAAAAGTCGCGTCGCAGAATTTCTATACATCTGTCGCGAACGAAACAGAACGAAATACAAGGGAGCAGGAACTGACCTCGTTCGCCACTCCAGATCGGAAAAGTCACCAAATACTACAACCGATAAACCGCAATCATGGGAAAGGTTCACGGATCTCTCGCTCGTGCCGGAAAGGTCAAGTCTCAGACACCAAAGGTACGATATTCCTCGATTATAGGGATGGAAATAGAGTGCGGGGAAGCTGCTCCAACTGGAACACATTCAGTCCGAGCATCAGCCGCGTGACACCGCTGAAGGATCCTGGATTACATTGTGGAAGAATGAACGCTGATGGGCTTTGTTCAACAGGTTGAGAAACAAGAGAAGAAGAAGACCCCCAAGGGCCGCGCGAAGAAGAGAATCACATACACCCGCAGATTCGTGAACGTCACTCTGACCGGTGGCAAGAGGAAGGTGAGCTTACAAACCCATCGAACAACATAGGAGCAGTATCTTACGAGTTATAGATGAACCCCAACCCAACCTCGTAAGCCAACAATCGACGGATGGGAGGAAGCTAGGATGCACGGGATAGAATTGATGAAGATTACCCTGGATCAGAGTTGGGATTGGTGTTCTCCAGAGTGGAGCAAATAAACTCCAGGATGGGGCCGCTCATCTTTGTGAGGAAGGGACGCATCTCACTGGCGCTTGTGTACATTTGATGAATGCTTTCTGCTTCTCAGTCAATGGAATCTTGATCTTCTCCCGGGACTGTTGTCCGTTCATGTGTGAATGAGAAGCACGGATACAATTACCATCATTCGAATATCTCGATGGACTCGAGGATCAACCGCAGATACGAGTGGCGCAAGGGCGATTTGGTTGGTATATTCCTTGTCAGGGGCTCATGATAATGTATGGAGATAGCTTCATCTTACTCGCAAGTGCGCGGCATTTCTTTGCTCATTAAATTCTTGGTTCTCCAGATAGAGGACGCTTTTCGATCTACATTCCACCTATCTTCCCTTTTTCCTCTCCTCCCATAAAGATCAATACATCCATCAAGATATAGCTTCTCCCATATATCTTGACATAATCATTGATACCCTCCCCCCTGCATCTCTATCCTTATCATCATACTATGTATCAGCACCAATACACAAGATCGCAAGTTGAGTATACATATAGTGTCCATCCCTCACTGGAGTTGTTAGCTGCAACAAGTCTACATCAAATCCAGAGTCCGGGTGCAGATGCACGTGATTGACAATCCCACGCGGATTGAAATCAATGTCGATTGTCGCTGGGCTTGTCGCTGCTGCGATGTGCAACAAAAGGAAGCGTCTGTAAGCACGTGATTGACAATCAGATTCGGTTTGAACTCGAGTTCAACGCCGCTGGGCTTGTCGCTGAGCCTGTTGCTGATGCGATGTGCAACAGAAGGTATCTACAAGCACGTGATTGACAACCTCAAGATTGTTGAAATCAGGTTCAATGCTGTTGGGCTTGTCATGAGTGCGATATGCGACAAAAGAGGTACATCTTAGATATCTACCTACCTATGTACATGTGATTATCAATCCTACTTACCTAGGTACCTACTCTTGCTGAGAACAACATTCAACATTCAAAAAGATCACTAGGACGACGACACCCTACCTCCTATTTACCTCCTCCCTTCACACCCTTAATATCGAAGTCTTAACGTTTTCCTACCTACTTTCATAACTTATCTACCTAGGTACGGACATGCTGCAAATCAATCGTTGATGTTATGGAATACCTTAGATACTGTGCCTAATCGGGATTTTTTTCGGTTGTGGAGAGTGGGTTTCTTATGCTGGGTGTATGGGAGAAGAGAGGTGTTGGCTGTGTCATAGATAGATAGGTAAAGTAGGTAGATAGGTATAGGTACTTCATGTAGTGTAGAAGGGAGGATGGAATGGAAGGGGAAAGCTAAGATACCCCCCCCCCCC